CACGTTTGTGAGATTGGCTTCTTTCTTTTCCTCTAATACACTAAATTCTTTCCTTCCTTAAGACTTTCATATAAGTTAATCCACTAGTTTTTAATGTTATGTTTCTAATTTTCACATGGCTATATCTTACTCAATTTTCTGATACTGATTATCAGATGTCACTGTTCCGATTCTTTGATGTCACTTCCTCAAAAAGGACTTCCCTGATCCCCCATTTATACTTTCTCAGAAAATTTTATTTTCTTTCATAATATATATGTATGCATCTGTAATTTTTTTTTTTTTTCAGACGGAGTCTCACTCTGTTGCCCAGGCTGGAGTGCAGTGGTGCATTCTCGGCTCACTGCTACCTCTGCCTCTGGATTCAAGTGATTCTCCTGCCTCAGCCTCCCAAGTAGCTGGGACTACACGCGCCCACCACCACGCCTGGCTAATTTTTCATATTTTTAGTAGACATGGGGTTTCACTGTGTTAGCCAGTATTATCTCGATCTCGTGACCTCATGATCCTCCCGCCTTGGCCTCCCAAAGCACTGGGATTACAAGTGTGAGCCACGTGCCCGGCCTGTCATATTTATTTCTGTAAAATATATGTAACATATGTTATATATACGTATGTCCTTTCCCTTGCTTTTTCACACATAAATTTATATGGCAGTTTATTGCATACTATGTATTCAGAGTTAGATAGCATTCCAATGGATAATCTGTGATTTTTAGTCAGTCCCTTATTGATGAAATTAAGATAATTTTCCCATTCTTTTGCTGGTAAAAATTGTGCTACAATAAAAAAAAAAAGTAATAACTTTTTAAAAAGATACTATGACAGAGATAACGTTGCAAGGGTAGACAGTGCTGCTACTGCAGAAAGTAGACAGCAATGATAAGTCAAAGCTGACTCCTCTCTCAGAATGAAAGCATCTCTTCCTCCTCACCAAAAAAAAAATATATATATATATATATACATATCTCTTGACTTGGAAAAACAGAACAAGAACTGTCCAGGACTTAGGTTTTTCAAGAATAACTATAAAGTGTCATGAAGAATAAAAAAGACTTAAATAAAAGTATATTTTTCTGGATTAGAAGGATTTCATAATAAAAAACAAACCAGTCTTCCCCTTTTGATAAGAGTGTAAAATGCTATATTTTGGGAGAGGAGGCAGTTTGGCAGCTTATCATATTGTTTCTCAACTATTTTTCTTTCCCATTATCATTCCCTTAAAAAGGCTTTTTAGATATTTTTCCTCATGCTTTCATGCATGAAATTTTAATCCTACAAATATGCTGAATATCTGTTCATATGCTTTATATATAACTGTGCTCTTTACATAGAAACAGCAAGAATTTTTCATACACCTCCAGACAGGAATTGGGGGGGGAATGAATGGAAAGGAGGGAGAAAGGCAGAAGGGGGAGAAAGGCAGAAGGGAGGGAAAGGGGAAGGGATAAAAGAGGAGGGGAGGGGAAAGGACGGGAGGCAAGGAGAGGGAAAGGGAAGAAGGAAGGGAGGGAAAGGAAGGAAGGGAGGGAAATGAAGGAAGGGAGGAAGGAAAGGAAGGAGGAAGAAAGGGAAGGAAGGAAAGGAAAGAGAGGAAGAGAGGAAGGGAGGAAGAGAGGGAGGGAAGGGAGGAAGAGAGGGAGGGAAGGGAGGAAGAGAGGGAGGGGAGGGAGGAAGGGAGGGAGGAAGGGAGGGAGGGGAGGGAGGGAGGGAGGAAGTAAAGGAAGATGTGCTCCTTTGGGTACAATTTCAACCTGACTGAAAATGCATGCTCACTACTAATTCGAATAGAAGTTGTCTCCATCTGGGTCCAGTAGGAAGAAGAATTCAAATCAAATGGTTCAAAGTGCCACTTATAGAATGTGGGCAACACATACAGAACTAAAATGATGAGAGACCCGGAGACAAGCCACATGGAATGGTGCTGTCACTCAAGAAGGCTGCCTTGGAGGGCTGGGGGAGGAAAGTGTTGCCTGCCTGCCCCCTGAGAACTGAAGCTATGGAAAAGGAACTGCCCACCCAGCACAATTAGCAGATGTGTAGGACACAGGCACTGCCAAAACCTGGCACCAGCTTTGCAGTGGGAGGAAGTGCCTCCTTCCCGCTCTCCTGCCAGCTTTCCGTCTTCTGCGCCTGACTCCCCTTAGTCAAGCTCACCTGGAGGTCACACCTATAAAACTCACAATAATTCCTGAAATCATCGAATACCCAGTCCATAATCCTATCTCTCCAGTAGTCCCCTAAATGTCCTCCCATCTGGCCTAGCCAATCAAGGACCACTCATGCTTCTAGTATTTAGGGTTGTTAGGTCTTTTCTGATCTGGAACTTTCTTCATAAAACTGACGTGATGGAACAACAGCCAGGTGGTGTTCTGTGCAATGTATCACCTTCTGAATGCGGCCAACTGCTTCCTTATGGTGCCATTTAGCTTGGTATTCTATCCTGTGCATTTCCTATAAACTGGAAATGAGGCATAAGGTCTTCACTAATGTTAAACTTTTCTAACATGATTACATCACGGGGATGGGTAAGGCTGTAGTCCACCTATGGTTCACTGTGGTGCCTCATGCCTATAATCCCAGCACTTTGTGGGGCTGAGGCAGGTGGATCACCTGAGGTCAGGAGTTTGAGACCAGCCCGACCAATGTGGTGAAACCCCGTCTCTACTAAAAATACAAAAATTAGCCAGGTGTGGTGGTGGGTGCCTATAATCCCAGCTACTCGGGAGTTTGAGGCAAGAGAATTGCTTGAACCTGGGCAGCAGAGGTTGCAGTGAGCCAAGATCATGCTACTGCACTCCGACCTGGGCAATAAGAGTGAAAACTCTGTAAAACAAAAACAAAACAAACAGAAAGAAAGAAAAAAAAAAAAAGAGACACGAGGTATCTATCCCACCTGGAGTTATGCAAACATGGACATCTCCTAAGTAGAGGTGATGACAACCAGATGCTTGCACTGTAAGATACAGCCCCCAACCCAACAGAAAACTGACTTGTGCAGTGTTTAGCTTGGCACCAAAGATGCAGGCTTTCACTAATCTACTGCCTAATGGTTTTTTAACCAATTGCCTAATGGTTTTTTAAATAAATTATTTCCTGATATAAAATAACGATGTCTAATACTATCATTTCCTTTCCACTTACTAGGTGGTATTCTGTATTGTCTGTTCTCATGCTGCTAATAAAGACATACCTGAGACTGTGTAATTTATAAAGGAAAGAGATTTAACAGTCTCACAGTTCCACATGGCTGGGGAGGCCTCACAATCACAGCAGAAGAGCAAGGAATGTCTTACATGGCAGCAGATAAGAGAGATCTTGTGCAGGGAAACTCCCCTTCATCAAACCATCAGATCTTGTGAAACTTATTCACTATCATGAGAACAGACAGGAAAGACCTGTCCCCATGATTCAATTATCTCCCACCAGGTCCCTTCCATGACACATGGGAATTGCGGGGGCTACAATTCAAGATGAGATTTGGGTGTGGACGCAGCCAAACCACATCACATTCTTCTGTAAGATGGAACTTTCTCTTAACAACTAGGCTATTTGGTTACCCTAAAAAACAGCTCCTGCTGGGAAGGCATGATGAATGCTTAATTTTCCCCCTTTGCAAATTAGAGTACATGGAATCGCTGCTTCAAATAAAGTCAATGAGATTTTTCAGGCTTTTTCTTTTGTAAATATTGTTAAAGACACATGTATTTCCACACATTCAATCTGTAAAAATAACAAAAATAGTTTTCATGCTCAAATTTTTATAAATTTAGCCAATGGGAGCACTTTCAAGCTTAAACCTATTTTTTTGTTTATTAATCTGAGAAACCTTCCTTGCTTTCTGGCACAACAAGAGATTCCAGACTCATTTTATACCTTTCTCGGCCTGCAATAAGTCACTGCTCCAAGGAGCCATGATTCCTTACAGGGGTAAATGGTATTAAAGGCCAAAATCCAGTGCATTAGGGTGCCCATTGCTACAAAGTTGATATTGTTTCTAGGCCATTTCAGTGGTCAGAAAAAGAAAAGGTAATTTTTATAATTACATTTAACATTTACATTACCTTTAACATTATAAGTTATGGATTTATGAAATATTTTTAATCTATCATAATGTCCTTTATCTTATAAAATATATAAAATAATTTTTGTATAATGATGCTAATAATATCATTACTAAAAACAAATCAATAATCCACTTGAAGCTTATAAGTTCTATGACTTTTCTTGAGCTGTAACAAATTAAAGATTTCTATTCAGTTCCATATATTAATGTCACTTAAAATAAATCTTTTCTATAGTATGATATGAACTTGACATACAATTATGTTTCAACTTGCTTTAAATTTTACTAATACCTACATGATTCCAGGGTTAAAACAATGTAAAAAGAAACACACTAAAATTTCTCAATTGGAAGCTATTTCATTGGTTTCTTATTTATTCCTGCACATTTTTACAAATATGTACATAAGAAGAAAGAATAGTCATTTTCTTTTGTAAAAATTCAGCCCACTGAAATACATTAATTAGTAAATTTTCCACTTAATATAGGTTAGGGCTAACCTATATCATTTTAAAGGCTGTTCAAGGTAACTTTTTCATAACTGCACATAAAAAAGAGGTTTGCTTTTTTCAGTGATCACGTACTACTTCTGACCTTAAAACATATTTTTGAAAAAGGAAAACAAATTTAGGGACACATTTTAGCCCCAGTCTTCTTTGTCCTATGGGCAGCATTTGGCATTTACTGGTCACCCCTCCTTTCGGAAACCTTCTTTTATTCCATTTCCATGGATCCACACCCCTTGATTTTCCTGCCTTCTACTTACCAAGTTCCACTGGCAACGCTGCTCTTTCTCACCAGCTCTTACCGCTTGGCATTCTTTAGGGTCTCCCATACTTCTAACACTACACACCCTCCCAGGACAATTTAATCCACCCTTCTGGTTCCAATTTCCACCTCTGATAATGAAATTCAATTCTATAACTTTACCCACCTCCTGAATCTCAGAAATCTATATCCAACTGCTGACAGGATGTCTCCCTTTTCCGCTCACAGACACAATATTTTCAACAGGCACCAGCTTGAGTTCATCATCTTGTGCCCCTTCCTCCTTCCTCCTCCAGTCTTCCTGGTGTTAGAAATGGTACCAACCTAAGGGCACAGGCATCAGGCTTCCCTTCATCCATCACCTCCTTTCTTACCTACCTCCAGGGCAATCCCAATCCTCTCAATTAGGCCTGTAACCCAACATCCCCGTACATCCATTTCTCTTAGTCCAGTCCATCTCCTGGATTGGGCAAGCATCGTCTCTAGTCTATTCCAACACCTCCTGCTTCCCATTTTCACCCTCTGTGACCCATTTGTCATGCTGTATTCAGAATAATCTTTTAAAACATAAATTAGGCCAGGCACTGTGGCTCATGCTTGAATGTCAGCATTTTTGGAGGCCAAAGCAGGAGGATGACTTGAATCCAGGAGTTCAAGACCAACCAGGGCAACATAGTGAGATTCCATCCCTATACACACACATACACACCCCCAGGTGTGGTGGCATGCGCGTGCACACACACATACACACACACACACATCCAGGTGTGGTGGCACGCACCTGTAGTCCAAGCTACTCAAGAGGCTGAAGTGGGACGATCACTTGAGCCTGGAAGGTTGAGGCTACAGTGAGCCATGATCATCCCACTGCATTCCAGTCTGGGTGACAGAGACAGAAGGAGACCTTGTCTCTAAATAAATAAAATAAAAATTAAATATCAGATAAATACCTTTATCTGATTAAAATCCAGCAATTCCTTATTATCACAGTAAATTCCACGTTTATGTACTTATATTTCAAACTAATTTACCTACTTCTAATCCTTGCATGATGGAGATTTTCAGCAATACCCTCTATGATATTTTGCTTTGGTAAATGTTCATTTTATTTCTACAATTCAAATATTTTCTAGTACCTTCATATTTTTGCAAAGCTGTTTTTCCTCTACCTAGAATATTACTTTTCTCCTCAACTCCTCTTTCATATTCATTCTTTAGTTGTTGTTTTGTTTTTTCTTTGAGACAGAGTTTCGCTCTTGTCACCTAGGCTGGAGTGACATGGCACAGTCTCGGCTCACTGCAACCTCTGCCTCCTGGGTTCAAGCAATTCTCCTGCCTTGGCCTCCTGAGTAGCTGAGATTACAGGCATCCACCACCACGTCTGGCTAATTTTTGTATTTTTAGTAGAGACAGGGTTTCACCATGTTGGCCAGGCTAGTATTGAGCTCCTGACCTCAGGCGATCTGCCCACCTGGGGCTCCCAAAGTGCTGGGATTACAGACATGAGTCACCACACCCGGCCTGGGTCCATGTTAATTACTACAACTGAGGCCTGGGAATTACAGCATTTTAAGTATAACATATAATAATTCCAAAGTACTAAGTATATGGTGTGACATGAGGCAGGTTGTTAATAAATGTTAGCTATTTATATAATTTAGGGCGTTCATGGATAACAAAGTAATCTCCAGACTGAATTCATCTTTGAAATCAACTGCTTTGCATTTGCATAATTCATATTCCTGTTTTTCCATACTGGAAGCTAAAAACTGTGATTTTCTAATTTTCAATGTCATGTAGAGATAAGCGGGAGATAACATATTATGAATGATACAGTTGAATTCCAGACCATTGTAAACAGCTGTCCATTCTTAATGCTGTAAATTTTGCTTTTTGTCATATATTTATGTTCTAAAACTGCTTTACATCAGAAAGATGATATGTCAACCTTGAAGCATCACTCTCTAGTAACAACAAAATGCCAAAATAAGACATAACTTTATTTTATTTTACTTCAGGTTGGTGGAGAAAGAGTTTCATTAGATCTGCTGGGTATACGGACTCTGTAGGAACATTCATTGTGAGGCTGAGGCCGTAGCCAGTGCTGTCATGAATATAGAGGAAACAGGTTCCTGCATAGCATGGGTGATAACCAGCAACTGATAAAGAACCTCAGCTTTGTTGAGAACTTGAAATAAATGGACTTGTGTTGGAAGGGAAGCCACCGAATGCAAGGCTATCTACTGCTAGAGAGAAAAATTACTGCAAAGTAATCATTGTTTAGCCAGAGGCTAAAACTTCTGCAAAAGCTCTGAGATAAAAATTTTGAATAATCAAGGCATTTAAATTTAAACCTCACTAGCACTTCTTCTTAATCATTCATAGACCTAATAATTCTCTTAAAAACAGAAAAGTTCAACTCTTCACCATATGATGGCAGGTGGGAGACACAGAAGGGGTAAAGAATTATATCAGAGGGAAGGGACCAGAGACACCCCCCAGTCATTCCTCTCAGGATGCTGAGACATTATCTTATCTTTGTGACCATAGACAAGGACATCATTTGACCAATGACCAAAATCATGTCTGTTTCTAGATCTCCTCCTGATGACCAAATTAATTGTACTGTGATTACTGAAATTAGAGTTCAGATAGATGTCTTTTTCTGCTTTTGATTGTAGTGAAGAACAATATGCAGCACTAATTTCTGTCTCCATTTTCCTGCTGGAAAGGAGGAACCTGGCCTGCTAAACCCCAGCTGAGGGCTTAAGCCATGGGCCCAGGAATGGCAGGCAACTGTCCCTTCAGCTCCAGAATAGTGAGTCATGGTTGGTGCAAATAACCCAGAGGAGCATTCCTCCAGAAATCAAGACAGAGAGGTAAAGTTGAAGGGTAAGCTAAAACCAGAGGCAGTGCACCCCAAGGGAAAAAGCATTTCAGAAGAAAAAAAGAGGCTGAGACACAGAACGGGGGAAAGAATCATGGCACAACGAAGGGACCAGAGACACCCCCTGGTCATTCCTTTAATAATACCTCAGGACCCTGAGACTTGATCTTACCTTTGTGACCATCGACCTTGTTACATATGGTCACAAGGATAGATAGAGCTGCTCCCACAGCAGATGGGAGGCCACAAGCATTTTTGCATAGACCACTCACAGCTTTGGCCATGAAGGGAAGTAGCTCTTAAGGCTACTAGACCTGCTCCAAGAGTTACTGGATAAAACAGGAGCAAGAGAGCAGATTGGATGAATGGATGGATGGATGGATGGATGGATGGATGGATGGATGGATAGAGAGAGAGAGAGAGAGAGAGATAACAAAGGGAGAGATGATAGACATAGATAGTTATAGACAGATGACAAAGAAAGATGACAGATATAGATAGAAAGACAGGTAGGTAGGTAGATAGTTGACAGACACAGATGACAGATGATTGATAGATAGTTAGATAGGTGGATAATAGGTATATGACAAAGAAAGAGAGAGAGATGATAGACATAGAAAGATAGGTAGACAGATAGATGATAGATAGATGACAGACACAGAAAAATAGATGACAGGCTAGATAGATGATAGATCATAGAAAGATGGATGACAGAAAAAAAAGAGATGATAGACACAGAGATGATAGATGGTTGGTAGGTAGGGGGGTAGGTAGGTAGATAGATACACACACACACACACACACACACACACACACACACACACACACACACACACCAGAGACAAAACAGACATACATAAAGCTTCTGAGTTTCTGCGTTGGAAGGGATTTTAAGATGCCTACCTGATACCAAAGTAAGAATCATTCTTCTACTATCCCCAACCAATAAGGTACTAACTCTGAGGTCTTCTTCCTTCTCTCCTCACTCTTCTCCAAGAGAATATTTTCATAGTCACAAAGATCATCCAGTCTGACACTTTTTAAGAGGTGAGCATCAATGTAGAGAAGACAGCAACTCAATCAAGCTGTTGGCATTTTTCCTGAGCCTCTGTTGACTCAGAGGCTTTAGTCTTTCCAGTAAATTCCTATGCATATGAATTTTTAAAAAATCATCTCATGCTTGCATGTTCTTGGAAAAATCTAAGTCCATCGGGTGATTGGTCAAAACCATTAAGATGTCAGCAAATCAGTGGGCAAAGTTTATGAAGAGACATTTACAAAAAGAAGCAGCAAATCTCATTAACAAGCATAATATAATTATAATATAACTTCTGGAGGGTATGGTGGTGACAGGGGAAACAGATTGCAGTTAGGACTGTAACTTGGTAGAACTCTTCTCAAGGCAATTTGAGAACATTATTAACAACAGCAAATATGTTTATTTCCATTGACCTGGGAAGCTCAGCAGTAGTATTATATCATGAGGAAATACAGATAATATAGAGCAAAGTATTATGCACGTTTTCCACAGGGCTATGACTAGAAGCAAAAAATAATATAGTTATATAAACTGTGACATAATGTCACAAAAGAATAAAATTTTATAGCATTTAGAAGTGTTTTCTTCTAAATTTAAAATAACAGAATACAGAATTATATATATGCAATGTAATGTAGACATTTTTAACTAGAGAAAACTGCTAAAAGAAAATTCAGTGAAAGATTAAAGGTGAGTATGGGGGATGCAATTATGTTTTTGCTTCCCTGTGTGCAAATTTTTGGCAATTTTGTTTTCTTTAATGAGCATGGTTTTTTTTCCAAATCGTAACATATTCGTTTTAAAGAAAAACTAGACTTATTATACTCGTTTTTGTAGATTTCTGTTTTATCAAGGGGTTACTGTAATATCAACCCCTTTTCTTTTCTCCTCCAAGGCAAAATAATTCTTGCTTACTAAACCTTTCTTCACAAGTCTTACCTCCCAACTCCTTAATTATATTTGCGATTTTTCTCTGTAAAGGTCATTAGGTATTTCTTTAAAAATTTTCCAAAGAAAATTCTGATATACTAGAGAGCCCACCGAATCACTTACTTCTTAGGAAATTCTTAGAGATATTTCAGTTTAACGCCGACATTTTTGCAATGGAAAAGAAAAAGGAGGCCGAGGGGAATGGTGCGCCCTTCACAGTTTTAGAAAGCCAGTTGGCACCAGGGCCAGCCTTCTTATTTATTTACTCTCTTTTATTTACATAACCTGTCATCAAGTCCAGTTCATCTCCAGCTTAGGTTCTCCTTGTGTCTTTGATCTGCTGACCACACTGGGTCTTATAGTTCAGTAACAGGTTAAACATAAGGATCAATGAAAATATGCATACATTGACATCTTGGCACTTCACCAGTTTTCAATGAAACAAACGAGCAACAGTTTTCCTTCTTTTGTTCCAGATGTCCATATGCCCTCCTTGTTCACATACAAGGAGCAGAAATGAGGTTAAGCAAAGTCCAGCACATCACTCATCAAAAGATGCTGGTGATTGTCCTGAAATATGATATCAGACTCATGGCTGAACATAAGTGTGCATTAATGTTTGAAGGCTTTACTAAAAAGGTGAATCACAGATAGAAACGTAAGGCAAAATTATAGGAAGGGAGAAAGTGGACCTTTCTGCCATCTTCTGCTCCCAGCCAAGGTTCTCCTGTAACTGGAAAGCAGTGCTTCTCTCAGCCGCTGTCAGTAGGAATCTCCACTTCTCAAGTGTCCCTCTAAGCAGAGGAGAAAATTAACTGTTGGGATTCAAAGGTGTCCCTTCTAGGTCACCTTGCCTCCATGTAAATCAAAAGCAAAATGAGCAAAGTATGTGGCAGCTCATTCTACACAAGTGGGCAAACTTTGGTGTAAGACTAATGAAAAGAAATGAAAAAGATGTAGCAAGCCAAAATACCCATAACA